AGAGAGAGAGAGAGAGAGAGAATTTTGGGTTTCTCTAAACTCGTTAGCTTCAGTTTAAACAACATATAGTGCGCCTTGCCAAGTAGGAAGGGCAAAGCTAGTTAACAGCTTGATTCCCCATATTATGGTGTTGGTAACAGCCTGGCTTCAATCCTTAATAACCACATCTTGGAAAAGGCAGTGTTTGTGGCTCCAGTGCTTCATGGGTTGGATGGTGACCTACAATTGGTGCTGGAACAAACAAAAATGCTAAATTTGTAAGGGAAAATCTAATTCTGGCAATGTCCCCAAATTTAATATCTCAATTTGTCCTTTTTGGGTTCAAGTTTTAGCAATTCAAGAAAAGTAATGTCAGCTCAAATTACTTAGATTCATAGGCTTCTAAGTGGAAAAGGAAGGAAGAATACAATGGGAGCTGCAACTGCTAAGCTGAAAATATCAAAGGAAGCATCTAGCTTTCTCGATTTCCCAAACCAGGTACCATGAATCCAAAGGAAGGCAGTTTGGGTGCCCAACAATCAAGATATGCCTTACTTACTTTCTCAACTGTTGTTTCTATCTTCTAGTCTGGTTGCTTTCTCTCTCTTCCTCCCTCCTCTTAACCCCACTCCTCATTGCACCTACTCTCTCTCTCTTGTAATCTTGATTTCTCCATCCTTTTATCCGCACTCCTCCACTTCGCTGCTTTCTCTCTCTCTGTTCTCTCTGTCCCTGCATTGTCCATCTTCCAATCTCTCCATTGCTCAAACCTTTTAACCCGTCCTGCTGCCCTACTTTCTCCCTCTCCTGTTCTCTAGCATTCATTTGATCTTTTCTCTCTCTTCAAATATATCTCTTTCTCCATCTTTTTAACCCTACTTTACTGCATGCTTTCGCTCTCTCCTGTTCTCTCTTCCATTTCTGCATGCTCTCTCTCTTCCATTCCCTTTCTTCCTCCATCCTTCAACCCCACTTTCATCAGTTAGTTCGTCATCCTTTCTTCCGAGGAATAATTTTAGAGCATCAGAATAGTTCTATATGTTCCTCTTTAGTACCACAGTGGTGAGAGGGAGAGGTTAGAGCGAGAGGAAATCAATAGAAGGCGATGGAAGTTGCTGTATAAGGTGTCCTTTTCTGGGTTATAAAAAATTAAGGTCGGGCTGGCAGGGCCCGGCACAGCCTTTCTTATAGGCATTCAAGCCGCGCCTGGGCCCATCTCAAAAAAATAAAATTTGGCTTGAGCTGGGGCTGAACCCCAGCCAGCCTTAAAAAAATTGTCCAAGACTTGGGCAGGGCAAGGTCCTTCCCCCAGCCTGGTCCATTGACATCCCTAATGTCCAATCTTATCCCTGATTTATTTAAAGAAGATGCATGTGTGTGGTTTTGTTGCAGAGAGCTCAATGGCTCCGTACAAGTTAAATGTATGTTATATGTACTGTCATGTAGCTTAATGATTTCATGGGTTTCACTGTGTGCATTGAAATTTCCAATAACATTTGAAAATGATCTTCAGAGTTCCATACGTACAAGTTTTTGAGTTCTTGTTCTTTTTGTCAACCTCAATGCATTAGTCAGAATGGTTGTTCCTTTGCAACTATGTTTCCTGGACACCTGTATGTGCGTCATTGTCTAACACGGGTACGCATGCTAGATTCCTCATGCCATGAGTAAGAGAATTCAGCAACCCGGCTAGGAATGGAGAACTAAACCCAGTTATGTTTTACTAAAACACCATTTCATTATGAGCAGCAAGAAATAATCAACCATACCTTAATTGGCTGAATGCATGGATTTTCAAAGTTCCATAGACATTTTCCACTTTCACATGGTCTACTCAAAACAACAAAGAAGATTAAATCTCTAAAATGATGTAATCGATATCTCATAAATGAGAAGAGGGATATTTCCGTATGTGTGTCGAATCTATTGTATGTGTGTTGATATATGTCTGCCATGGTTACATCACCCAAACAGGAGAATTTGTATAGCATACTAGTTTCCAAGTTCTGAATTATGAGAGAAGGGGGTCAGAGAAAGTTATTTGGTTTATGCTCTCTAACAAGGTGTTGTGGAAAAAGTGCATGGTAGGATGGACCGGGCTTAGGATTTTGAATGCTTAAAGAACAAGTGGTACAAAAACATAAAGCTGGAAGCGGGGCGTTTTTTTTTCTAGTCTCTAGTCGTGTTGAATTTATTCGTGATGTCTCGTCTATGGGAATGAGAGGAGAGTGGGTTATTTTTTGTAAGACAGAAATGTAAGGTGTGAAGGCTTCATGTGTGAGGCAGCCTAGTTTGCAACGAAACTGCAGTGGGTTCCTGATATTACATTGTCACATGAAAAGAAAATGAAGAAGAGCGTGAACCTTTTCTAAGGTCAATGTATTTTTTTTTTTTGGCATGTTCTGAAATCTGCAGCTTCACTTATAAACATTTATTAATGTCCCAGATATAGTTTATAGGTTCAGTTTCATATATGCATTTCTTTTCCTCTCTCTCTCTCTCTCTCTCTCTCTCTCTCTCTCTACACACACACACACACA